TTTCACATAGATTAAGGTCATACATGCATATATATCTGTGTTCTTTTTTGTTGTGGCCAGATCACCAAATCTTATAATCTTACTGTTGAATTAGCTAGATTTAATGATAAGTTCTCTTCTAATAATTCTTTTTCTTGTGTTTCTCACTTCTTGAAATCTCTTGAGGTTTTTTACTTTCCTGCCACTTACAATCTCCAAAAATTTAAGTGTAATGTCAATCACCATCTTTCTGTCTTCCTGGAACGTTCTTTTATTGGCCTTTTTTCTCACTAAAGTCTTTTAATTCTCTTTCATTATCCCTCTTGTCTTAGTGGCATTATTACCTTGCTTGGTGGTGAAAAGATTAGGAAAAAAAAATAATGTAGCCATTATGAATATCATGGCTCCCTTGTCCAATATGAGGTTGCTAAATAAAAGTCGGCTGATACTGGTTGTTTTGTCTAAGACCAATAATTAGTGATTAGATTTATGGCCACTTGCAGGAGGTCATGATGGTGGTACAAAAAAAAAAAAAAAATTTCTATTTATATGGAATTCATTTTATTTATCTTTTAACACATTTTTTATATTGAGAAATATATCGGAATATGATGTATCTATTTGCATGTATTACATATGATATGAACATGGTTTTGAAATGCTTGGAGTCTAGTCTTATATTTATAATAGGTCTTTCCCTGAAAGGATTTTATTCTTTATTGCTTTTTTATTTTTTTTTCCTGTTTTTCTTTTCACTCTCTTCTTTTTTTTCCTTTGCTCTCTCTCTCTTGTTTCTGCTTTGCTCTCTATCTCTCTCTCTTGTTTCTGCTTTGCTCTCTCTCTCTCTCTCTTGTTTCTGCTTTGCTCTCTATCTCTCTCTCTTGTTTCTGCTTTGCTCTCTATCTCTCTCTTGTTTCTTCTTTGCTCTCTCTCTCTCTTGTTTCTTCTTTGCTCTCTCTCTCTCTTGTTTCTTCTTTGCTCTCTCTTGTTTCTTCTTTGCTCTCTCTCTCTTGTTTCTTCTTTGCTCTCTCTCTCTCTCTTGTTTCTTCTTTGCTCTCTCTCTCTCTCTCTTGTTTCTGCTTTGCTCTCTATCTCTCTCTCTTGTTTCTGCTTTGCTCTCTATCTCTCTCTCTTGTTTCTGCTTTGCTCTCTATCTCTCTCTCTTGTTTCTGCTTTGCTCTCTATCTCTCTCTTGTTTCTGCTTTGCTCTCTATCTCTCTCTTGTTTCTGCTTTGCTCTCTATCTCTCTCTCTCTTGTTTCTTCTTTGCTCTCTATCTCTCTCTCTCTTGTTTCTGCTTTGCTCTCTATCTCTCTCTTTATTTCTTTTTGCTCTCTCTCTCTCTTGTTTCTTCTTTGCTCTCTCTCTCTCTTGTTTCTTCTTTGCTCTCTCTCTCTCTTGTTTCTTCTTTGCTCTCTCTCTCTCTCTTGTTTCTTCTTTGCTCTCTATCTCTCTCTTGTTTCTTCTTTGCTCTCTATCTCTCTCTTGTTTCTTCTTTGCTCTCTATCTCTCTCTTGTTTCTGCTTTGCTCTCTATCTCTCTCTTGTTTCTGCTTTGCTCTCTATCTCTCTCTTGTTTCTGCTTTGCTCTCTATCTCTCTCTTGTTTCTGCTTTGCTCTCTATCTCTCTCTTGTTTCTTCTTTGCTCTCTATCTCTCTCTTGTTTCTGCTTTGCTCTCTATCTCTCTCTTGTTTCTGCTTTGCTCTCTATCTCTCTCTCATGTTTCTGCTTTGCTCTCTATCTCTCTCTTGTTTCTGCTTTGCTCTCTCTCTTGTTTCTGCTTTGCTCTCTCTCTTGTTTCTTCTTTGCTCTCTCTCTTGTTTCTTCTTTGCTCTCTCCCTTGTTTCTTCTTTGCTCTCTCTCTTGTTTCTTCTTTGCTCTCTCTCTTGTTTCTTCTTTGCTCTCTCTCTTGTTTCTTCTTTGCTCTCTCTCTTGTTTCTTCTTTGCTCTCTCTCTTGTTTCTTCTTTGCTCTCTCTCTTGTTTCTTCTTTGCTCTCTCTCTTTGTTTCTTCTTTTGCTCTCTCTCTTGTTTCTGCTTTGCTCTCTATCTCTCTCTTGTTTCTTCTCTGCTCTCTCTCTCTCTCTTGTTTCTTCTCTGCTCTCTATCTCTCTCTTGTTTCTTCTCTGCTCTCTATCTCTCTCTTGTCTCTTCTCTTCTCTCTATCTCTCGCTTGTCTCTTCTCTTCTCTCTATCTCTCGCTTGTTTCTTCTCTTCTCTCTATCTCTCTCTCTTGTTTCTTCTCTGCTCTCTATCTCTCTCTCTTGTTTCTTCTCTGCTCTCTATCTCTCTCTCTTGTTTCTTCTCTGCTCTCTATCTCTCTCTCTTGTTTCTTCTCTGCTCTCTATCTCTCTCTCTTCTTCTCTGCTCTCTCTCTCTCTCTTTTTTCTTCTCTGCTCTCTCTCTCTCTCTTGTTTCTTCTCTGCTCTCTCTCTCTCTCTTGTTTCTTCTCTGCTCTCTATCTCTCTCTTGTTTCTTCTCTGCTCTCTATCTCTCTCTTGTTTCTTCTCTGCTCTCTATCTCTCTCTTGTTTCTTCTCTGCTCTCTATCTCTCTCTTGTTTCTTCTTTGCTCTCTCTCTCTCTTGTTTCTTCTCTGCTCTCTCTCTCTCTTTGTTTCTTCTTTCTCTCTCTCTCTCTCTGTTTTTCTTTTTCTCTCTCTCTCTCTTGTTTCTTCTTTCTCTCTCTCTCTTGTTTCTTCTTTGCTCTCTCTCTTGTTTCTTCTTTGCTCTCTCTCTTGTTTCTTCTTTGCTCTCTCTCTTGTTTCTGCTTTGCTCTCTATCTTTTCTCTTGTTTCTTCTTTGCTCTCTCTCTCTCTTGTTTCTTCTTTGCTCTCTCTCTCTCTCTCTTGTTTCTTCTTTGCTCTCTCTCTCTCTTGTTTCTTCTTTGCTCTCTCTCTCTCTTGTTTCTCCTTTGCTCTCTCTCTCTCTCTCTTTCTTTCTTCTTTTCTCTCTCTCTCTCTCTTGTTTCTTCTTTGCTCTCTCTCTCTCTTGTTTCTTCTTTGCTCTCTCTCTCTCTCTCTCTGTTTTCTTCTTTGCTCTCTCTCTCTCTTGTTTCTTCTTTTGCTCTCTCTCTCTCTCTTGTTTCTTCTTTGCTCTCTCTCTCTCTTGTTTCTTCTTTGCTCTCTCTCTCTCTTGTTCTTCTTTGCTCTCTCTCTCTCTTGTTTCTTCTCTTCTCTCTATCTCTCTCTTGTTTCTTCTCTTCTCTCTCTTGTTTCTTCTCTTCTCTCTCTCTCTTTTTCTTCTCTTCTCTCTCTCTCTCTTTTTCTTCTCTTCTCTCTCTCTCTCTTGTTTCTTCTCTGCTCTCTATCTCTCTCTCTTGTTTCTTCTCTGCTCTCTATCTCTCTCTCTTTTCTTCTTTCTCTTCTCTATCTCTCTCTCTTGTTTCTTCTCTGCTCTCTCTCTCTCTCTCTTTGTTTCTTCTCTGCTCTCTATCTCTCTCTCTCTTTTTTCTTGCTCTCTCTCTCTCTCTCTCTTGTTTCTTCTCTGCTCTCTATCTCTCTCTCTTGTTTTCTTCTCTGCTCTCTCTCTCTCTCTCTTTTCTTCTCTGCTCTCTATCTCTCTCTTGTTTCTTCTCTGCACTCTATCTCTCTCTTGTTTCTTCTCTGCTCTCTATCTCTCTCTTGTTTCTTCTCTGCTCTCTCTCTCTCTTGTTTCTTCTCTGCTCTCTATCTCTCTCTTGTTTCTTCTCTGCTCTCTCTCTCTCTTTGTTTCTTCTCTGCTCTCTCTCTCTCTTGTTTCTTCTCTGCTCTCTCTCTCTCTTTTTTCTCTCTGCTCTCTATCTCTCTCTTGTTTCTTCTCTGCTCTCTATCTCTCTCTTGTTTCTTCTCTGCTCTCTCTATCTCTCTCTTGTTTCTTCTCTCTCTCTCTATCTCTCTCTTGTTTCTTCTCTGCTCTCTCTCTCTCTCTTCTTTCTTCTCTCTCTCTCTCTCTCTCTGTTTTCTTCTCTGCTCTCTCTATCTCTCTCTTGTTTCTTCTCTGCTCTCTATCTCTCTCTTTGTTTCTTCTCTGCTCTATCTCTCTCTTGTTTCTTCTCTGCTCTCTATCTCTCTCTTTCTTCTTCTCTCTCTCTCTCTCTCTCTTGTTTCTTCTCTGCTCTCTCTCTCTCTTGTTTCTTCTCTGCTCTCTATCTCTCTCTCTTTTTTTCTTCTCTGCTCTCTATCTCTCTCTCTTGTTTCTTCTCTCTTCTCTCTCTTGTTTCTTCTCTGCTCTCTATCTCTCTCTTGTTTCTTCTCTGCTCTCTATCTCTCTCTTGTTTCTTCTTTGCTCTCTATCTCTCTCTTGTTTCTTCTTTGCTCTCTATCTCTCTCTTGTTTCTTCTTTGCTCTCTATCTCTCTCTTGTTTCTTCTTTGCTCTCTATCTCTCTCTTGTTTCTTCTTTGCTCTCTATCTCTCTCTTGTTTTTCTTCTCTCTCTCTCTCTCTCTTTTTCTTCTCTGCTCTCTATCTCTCTCTTTTTTCTTCTCTGCTCTCTATCTCTCTCTTGTTTCTTCTCTGCTCTCTATCTCTCTCTTGTTTCTTCTCTGCTCTCTATCTCTCTCTTGTTTCTTCTCTGCTCTCTATCTCTCTCTTGTTTCTTCTCTGCTCTCTATCTCTCTCTCTTTTTCTTCTATGCTCTCTCTCTCTCTTTTCTTCTTTGCTCTCTATCTCTCTCTTGTTTCTTCTTTGATCCCACCTTCCTTTGATGTCTTCTTTTTCTTTCTTTTCATTTTTCTTCTTGATTCTTTCCTTCATTTCTATGTTTTGTTCCTTTTCATCATCCTTCTCTTCATTTCTTTCTTTCCCTTCTTACACTTCATTTCTTTCTCTTATTGATTCCTTTCTTTTTTTTTACCTCACTTTCTTAAACTATCTGTAAAAATATAATCAACATCTTTATATGATCCTTACCTCATTCCAGGTGACCCTGCCAGTGTAACTCTTCTGCAGCATCTGTCTGAATGGAAAGACCAAAATAAAGATCAATTTCCTGACTTAGCCTTGGCATCTGTAAACTGCTTTGACTGGACTGATGTGTGCAGCAAACAGATGATCCTGCTTAGCCCTACAGTGCGGTTGATTGGCCATCAACGTGGACAAGACATCAGGACCGACCCTGAAAGGACCTACACAGGCGCCCTTAATCCTAAAGATGTTGTTTCTTATCTTTTTATGTAAGGGAAGATTTAGTCACTGATAATATTGTGAATCCCTAAAGTCCATTTCTTAGGGTTTTCACAGCATTATTGTACATAGATTTATTATTATTATTATTATTGCATAATCAATTGATCTAAACCTGATGATGTTGTTCTCTTATGTGCATTGTCCTTGTGGGATACTCCTGGGACAACAAACTACACCCAGCAGCAAGGCCTATGATTGGGAGAGCTGAAGATTTTGAGGAGTGTGGCACCACCTCTTATTTGCTGTTGTCCCAAGGTCCACCCTGACTTTGGGTGGTAGCACTTGTTAGGGTCCCAGCTATGCAAAAATAGTGTACCCCAAACAAAAACAAACATGATGAAAGCATAAAAACTCATTTTTATAGTAAAAATACCAGCAATTCATTTTTATATGAAAATTACCAACAACATTTATAGTAAAATTACCAACAATACCTATTTATAGTATATATTTAGTTGAAGCCATATAATTCTGTTCAAAATATTTAGATTTTGGCATTAAATAACCCAGGGAGGTTAATATGCCTCAAAACAAAACCAAACATATATATATATATATATATATATATATGTGGGGAGAGAGTGTCCCAGCTATGGGCAAATAGTGAACATTCGAATAAAAACAAAAACTATCAAAGTATAAAAATTCATATTTATATAAAGAAAAATTTACTAAGAATATATAATATAAGAATATATATTTATACTAAAATTACCAACAATACATTTTATCTGTAGTTGAAACCATACATTTGTGTTCAACATCTATTTAATTGAAGCCATAAAATTGTTCAAAAAATTTAGATTGTGGTCTTAAATAACCCATAGAGGTTGATATGCTGCTGATCCAAATCAAACCCTCAACATGAAAGAACTCTTTCATGAGATTAGTTCATAGAAGATCCTACAATTTCTGAAAGACACTAAAATATGACTTCAACAGAACTACGGCTTCAAGCACACATATCACCGCTTCTAGTAATTATGTCCACACAAACATGTATAGGCACAAAAGCTGAGTATCCTCTACCTGGTATTCAATTTTGAAAGTGTTGTGGGAGTATGCTGGTCGAGTGTTTAAGGTTGGAATACAATTGTCTTCTGGTATATTTATCCCACAACAAAATGGCAAACACAGAATATGAGTCCAGGTAATAAATGATTAAAGCAACAACAAAAGTAATACATCTATATATATATATATATATATATATATATATATATATATACACATACACACACGTGTGTAATTTATTATATATATTATTTATATATTATATATGCGCGATACTTATTGAAAAACGCTCAATATCAATGATAGAGCTAACATATTTAGTTGGACTGATGTGAGTTTGTCACCCTGGGTTTCACGCTTTTGTGATTGTCAGACAAATTGGTTTGTCTGATGATCACAAAAGTGAAACCTATATATATATATATATATATATATATATATATGGGGTAACAATATATACATTTTTATATATCAAGAACAGTTTTGAAAGAAAAGATGTATGACAAACTGAAAAGTTTTTGTGACTCGTTTCACCTATTAAAACTTCATTAAACTGGGTTTGTTTACACTTGCCCATCAGTGAGGGATGCTGGGAGTTTTAAATTTAGGAAGATTTTTTTTTTTTTTTCCATGCAATCTAGCCCATTTCATCAAGATTCTTTTTCTTTTAGTTTCCATCATCTTTGTTATTCTACATTGTGATAAGTGAAGATCTGCCAATAATGGTGAAACATAAGAATGTCAGATATTTAATAATAAAGATGAAAAAAAAAAAAAAAAAAAAGAATCTAAATGAATTTGACTAGATTATATGCAAAAAAAAAAAAAAACATCTTTCTAAATTTAAAACTCCCAATGTCTGTCATTTGTGCACATATATAGTGAAAACAATGTAAAGAAACCCAGTCCAATAAAATCCCAACAAATAAAACACATTATAAAACCTTTTTTCAATTTGTCATACATGTTTTTATTAGGTTGGTGCAAAAATAATGACGTAAGAATGTCATTTTTTGATGTTAAAAAATACGTCAGAAAACGACATTATTACGTCATTATTTTTGCACCAACCTAATATAATCTTCAAATATCTAAATGTAATGTCAATTGACATCTTCTGATACCTTGATCTTGATCTCCGTCCCTCTCTGCGTCCTGGGTATGACAATAAACTACATCCATGTCCTGGGTAAGACGATAAACTATGTCCAGCAGCAAGGCCTCTGAATAATTGCTGGTGTTCCCAGGTCCATCTTGACCTGGGGTGGTATCACCTGTTAGGGTCCCAGCTAGGGTTGTCAAACCCAAACTCAAACAAAAACATTGTTTTCAATCGTTATGAGTCTACCGATTGAATAATTTTATTATAAACAATTGTCTTGTAAATGGAATTTTTACAGCATTCTGAATGTAAAAATAAAGAAAAAAGTGTGCAAGACAATAAAAAACACTACCTGCCAAAAATAAAAGTGAAGTTTTGTTGAAATCAGTTGAAAAATGTAGGAAATCCAATCCCATATATAAATGAACACACACACACACCCAAACAACCTGGGTTTTATTATAAGTATAACTTGATATGAGTTGTGCCCCTTTCCTTCTCGTGATACCTCTTAATTGTGTTTTCAAATTGATTTTGTGAAAAAACAATTGTGTTTTTCCAATTTTTGGTGCTGTCAGAACCACCGCAAGGTAATTTTACCTAGTCCTGTGAAGTTTTGTTGAAATCGGTTGAAAAATGTAAGAAATCCAATCCAATATATAAACGTACAGACACACACACACAACCTGGATTTTATAATAAGTATGATGATTTATCATATATCACATGTATCATATGAGACCAAATTACAGTCGATTATTCTCTTGTCCTCTGTCTCTTTGTCCCATCTTCTAGTTAAATAAATTAAAAAATAAAAGAATTATAAAAGTATCAATAGTAACGCTATAGTCGTTGCCTAAATGTGTACAGCCCAAAACACCCGAACAAGAAACAGCTAAACATCTTATAAACGTGAACAGTGGAAAAGATGCATATTTGCTATGTTCGTATTTTATAATATGATACTAATATGTCAATATTACATGCATTATTATTGGATAAAGTTAAGTAAAACATCAGTTTTATCAAAATCATGTTTATTTTAAGTACAGCTGTACTTTTTGACTACAGTAAATGGATATACAGTATAACTCGAATATAAGAGATTTGGCGGGACCGGAGAAGAAGTATCTTATATCCGGGTTTCTCTTATATCCGGGTTTGGTCTATTTTATATACATTAACACAGGCTCTAATTTAGGACCAGAGAAAATCTCTCTTATATCCGGGTCTCTTATATCCGGGTTACACTGTATAATTTGGTCAATGGTGTAGCCAGGGCCAGCAATCCATATCTCATGCATTTTGCAACCGCCTTAAAATTAGCTTCAAAGTTAGATCTTCAAAAGTCAATGTGAGTATATATGGTAGTTATATTTTTCTGAATCTGGTTATATTTTCTGTGTGTATGTGTAAATCTGTTAATTTGCCACGTGGTTTGTTGAAATTATGAATTCAGCTTTCCCTGGTAGTTTCTCCCTAGAGGAAGACTGGATAACACATCTTATGAGAGAGAGAGAGGTTTTTAATGCCCATTTCTCTTAAATTGAAACACCACTTTGCAGTAATAAGTAAAATCCATTTGTAGACAAGGTGGGATAATCTGACAATAAAAATGTGGTTACTAATTCACTGTGTAAGTGTTAATTTTAGATATTATTTTTTTTAACAGATATGGCTTGGATGGGGTGATGAAGATTAATGCAGAAGATGCAAACCAATTTCTGAGTGGAGAATTCCGGGGCATATCCAACTTGACGTCACATTGTCTTTTTGGGCTTTTCCATGAACATAGTTGGGGTCTGTATCAACGTTTTTTGTTTATTTATGAGGAATTCTTTGGAGTTTTCAAGTTAAGCATTTAAAAAGGAAAGGAAATGAAACTCTGACCAAAAATATGTAATACGGACGTATCATTGAATTTCATGCAATTATTAGGTTAATTAACCAGGTGAGCATAGGTGATATTCGGTGCAGTGCATGATCATTAAATTGTTTATTCTGGTGTGATTGGCACAGCTGTATTGATTTTTGTGTAAATCCATGTCTATTTTACTTATATTGATCCCTAGTTCTGGCTTTAAGCAAAGGGCAAGGATTCATTGTGGTGTTGATGCTAAACACCAGTCAATATTAATGCCATAGAAGTGAAGGAAATATTGATAAAAAAATTGACACAAAAGTTGTGATATGTCCAGTTTTGATTCAATGATTATGATTTTAAGAAACAAAAAGGAAAAAAAAAATATTACAGTAATTATAAGAAATAAATGGACTTTAGAAAACTGAATATATATTTTACATTTGATAATAGTTAAGTTTTTTTTTCATTTCACCCCAATTAAGGCAATAAAACCACTGAAGATGCAAGTGGTTACTGAGTGTGATGGAATATGGGGAAAAAGAAAACATAGTGAAGGAGAGAGAATGTGGGGAAAATAGAAATGGTTTACCTCCCAAACACCCTCGTGTCTGTCTGGCCTGTGGGTTGAGAAAGGAAAGAAAAGATCCAAGATGGCGTCCGTGACTTTTAATATTCACGGTCTCGTGCAGTCACGCAAAGTCACATTACACACATGCTAATGAGGTGTGTCTGGGCTCCATAAAAGCAGGTCGCTTGGAGAAATTGGCAGACCGGCATTACACACGTGTTTGGTGTACATCACGGTGCGTTGCAGCGTGTCAGACATTTTCAGACGGAAAGAGTTGCGTCCCTTACACTGTTGAAGTCGACTCATTTGCTACAGAGAACTATAAAATAATAGGAATTATGAAGTTAGAAGATAATTATTGATATTGCATTTAAATTTTTGAGGATCAAATTTGACTGGAAAGCAAGAAGTGAAAAAAGAAACCATTAACATAGAACTTAGAACATCAAGCCATTTCATCTGTAAAATGATGAGACCTTACTGCCAATCTAGTACTGCACTCAAATTTATAAAATCTGGCTACCAAGGGAAAAGCTCAGAACAATTACCATGAAAATATTTAAAGAAAATGTACAGGGATGTTATGTTATAGAAGTGGGGAAAGTGACTGAAGCCGAGATACCAGATCTGATTGTGGGCCCTGCACAGTGCTTTGAGACTCTTGCTATCTTATCAATATTTGCTTTTTTTTCTGTTGACATTTATATACCATAAAAATTAATCTAAGCCCAACTGTTAAAAGAAGAAATATCTTTGCAGATTTTTGACCTCATTCATTGGGACCATTTTTGTTTTTTTTTTTGTTTTTTTTTTTGTTCAGATCCATAAATTTATTTTGCCCATGATAAAAAAAAAAAAGCAATATAAAATTCATTATTTTTTATCCATAATGTTGAATGAGTTAAAATTATTCAACTTTTGAACAAGAAAAATCTCAAGTTGGTGTTAAAAATTGATGCAAAACATTTATTTAAGATGGAATGATCTATTATGACATTTGTATTTAGATACACTGTATTTATTTTCAATTTGTCTACTTGAATTGTTCACCTATATTACATATGATCCATTATTGTATATAATTAGGTTGCAATAAAATTTGTATTTTATCTGAATACCTTTTGAAAATTGAAATAAAGTAGAGTAAAGGGTTCCTGTATCATAGATTCAGTCAGGTGGATTAGACTATTGCACCTGTGCAGGTACGAATTTTATCTCTGTATTTTATGTTTGTTTCTCTCTTATATTTACAAACATTTTAAGAATTCCATTTATTTGCTTATATTCTCATGTGATCTTAACATGTGTACGTCTGTATATATTAACGGACAATATATTAATTTGTGAGTGACATGATCTCATTTAAAGTTCCTATCATTATGTATAAATGGTTAAAATTTCATTTATTTTTTTCAACCTCACTCATATTCTAAAAATCCTTGTAAGTTGTAATTTCTGCAATGCACACATGACATGCATGATTACACATGACCTATGTCTCAGTTGAGAAACATTAAGACAAGTATCTCATCATAGATGAAGAAGAGACTTGAAAAAACAGAAATATTCTACAGAAGGATGCTGAGAATACCATGAACTAAACATGTGAGCAATAATGAAGTTTTAGAGAAAATGGAAACAAAAAAGGCACTTAACATCAGAAAGAGACAGTTGAAATTTCTCGAGCACATAATGAGGAAAGAGGGCTTGGAAAATTAGATACTCACAACAAATTGAAGGCAAGAGGGACAAAGGAATATAATGCATAACATACTTACTAAGCTAGAGTCAATAAATGGTGAAACTGGGTTTAAGAGAAAACACAAAGATAATTTATTAAGAGCTACAAAGGAAATTGTGGAGAGCCATTTCCTGAAGCAACACAACTTATAGAAGAAGAATTTTAATAATACCTTTCATCTGGGGGGAATGTTTTCAGATTATTAACAAAGCTGTACCTCATTCCACATTTCAGTATTTTTATGAGGAGCTATGTCACTTTTCTTATAAATATTTGGGAATGGTCATGAGTTGTAAAGTACTAAGTACAGCATTAAAACATTAGTAAATCCTGCTAGTTTATAATTATTATTACTAGTATTGTGAAAAGACTTATTCTTAGAAAATACCTGCAGTATTTGTTGATGCCAGCTGGTTCATCCTACCTAAATATGCCTGAATAAGTCCCAATCATTAACTAGTTGGAAACAGTAGCAGAATGAGATATAACTGAAAAGATAGCTGAAGGAATATACAGATAATCATAAAATACTAAAAAGAAAAAATAAGATTTATACATTTAAAAAAAAAAAAAAGTTCTATTAAAGAAATTATTAAACCATGAAGTAGGTTTTTTTGAAAGTATTTTTCCAAACAAGTCAGTTTATTCAAATTTCATTGGTTTGCGAAATTGAATAAAACGTCGAGTTTGTAAATCACAACGAAAAAATATCAGCAATAATTTCAACATTACTAAAGGATTTCAACACGCATCAATGTGTTGGAAAGAATTCTAGTAGTAGTAAACTACAGTAATTCAAATGGTTTACATTGGTATCTTTGATAAAGAGAATAAATTATGTAAGTAATTATTTATTAATGAAATCGAAGAAATGACAGCAAGCCACAAATCTTTTTACTGTTTTCAGAAATGGCAGAATTTGAATTAGCTGCCAAAGAGCAAAGGGGAAAAACTCTGTATGCTCTCATGACAGGTCCTGATGCTGAATCTTTGTAAGTATAAGTGTTTTATTAATTTTTTTTTAAAGTTTTGCCGATTCTTTTTCTAGAATTCAAACATGTCAGATGCTGTTTTGCCAAACTATCGCCCAGCTCCTATCCGTAATGGGCAAAAAAAAAAAAAATGATTGGTGGATTCATCCTCTATTTCCAGACCATAAATATCTGCTGCTGACAACTTAATCTGACATAATGAATAGGAAGCATTATTTTAGAGGCAACACTCTTTTAATAATTGCATATACACACACACACACACGGCACAGTGGATAAAGGTGTTGGTTAGATCCAGTGACAGGACCAAAAGAGTATGAGTTCAATACCCGGTTAAGGCAGTGGAGAACTTTCAGAGGGAAATTAACAGGAGGTAACTGATAACTGACATCCATTAAACATGGCACGTGGAACTAGAACGGTCTACCCCAGTGAGTGAAATAAAGGGTTCAGTTCGACATTCCAACCACCTGAAGAAGGCCGGAGCGTACAACGGCCGAAACGTTGTGATAAATATGGTGACAAAGATGAGGACAATAGTCCGAATAATGTAAATAATGTTCACACACACATATATATATATGCAAACATTTTGTGTTTAATGGAAGTCATTTATGAAATTCCTTTTATTTCCCACAGTGCCCAAACACATGGTCTGACACTACCAACTGTGTTGGCTTTGAGATGGGATGATCCGCTAGTTCCAAAATCACCCATGTCAGGCCGTATCAACAAGGGAAAAATTCTGGAATTCTCCAAGTCTTCAAAGATACCATTGTTTGTAAGTCATCAAATTCAATTCCTGTTTTTTCTTGTTTTCCCCCATTTTTTTCTTTTTTAAAAAATGAAATGTGGCTAAATCGTTTGGTGCTTTTAGCATCATTTTGTTTATTAGAAGTCCGAATAATGGAAATAGTGTGAAATTTGTTCACTTAAAATAGGAATGAAACGACATGATTCAAAAGTAGCACTTATTTATGTTAGGATTACTACAAAAAATTTAGAAGGGAGTAGTTTTTGCAGTTTATGCTTCTACTGTAAATTACTTTCATGAATCAGGCCCCAAATATAGTCCCCATCATGTTTACTTTATATGATTCTTGGTAGCCAGGATGTTCTAGAAATAATTGAAACTTCCAGAAAATTCTCTTTCAGCAACCTGGTCCTGAATCGTCTGGAATGTAATGGAAAATAGATTAGTTTCAGAACATCGATGTTCAGGTCAGAAAATCAAAGTTTGAAGGGAATAATAGTAATTTCCGGTTAATTTGCAGTGTCCCACTCCGCACTCAGTTCTCATTAAAAATTTCCAAAATACTTACATTATGTGTAATTGTACATGCCCCATTCGAATCTGGTTTGATAAATTTGATAAAATCTACTGTTTTGGAGTTATCCACTATGGAATTTGGGATTCAATTGCGTCGTTGGCGGCAGCCATTACTCGGGTTGTTTGCATACATTTGCTGCGGAAAGCTAAACACGGAAGACTTATGGAAAGCTAAGCTCAGAACTGATCTTTCTTGTCTAAATTTGTCTCAATTACTGCACACGAGAACTATTTATGTAGACATGCTCAGTTTGCGCAATGATACCTACACTGATAGCTATTCTGCAGCGAATGTATACAAACAACGCCAGTAATAGCTGCCCCCAATGCAAATGAATCCGAAATTTCATTGTTGATAACTCCAAAACCAGATTTGAATGGAGCATGTAGAATTACACAGAAATGTAAGAATTCTGGAAATTTTTAATGCGAACTGAGTGTGGGGTGTTATACTGCAAATTAACCGAATTTCCTTTGCTTTCTAGACAGAAGCAATTAGCAAATAACTTACCAAAGACAAAAAAATTCTAAATTTTGTTACAGTGTTATTTTTATTAGATTTTAATTATTATATTATTATAAACTATTTTTAATTTTTTTGTCTTTGGCACTCGCCTATCATTTCCAAAGTAATCATGGTCGTTGGGGAAGCCGATTTACTTCCACTATTTTAAAGGATAATAACTCAAGACTCAATTGAGTTACTTCCCTTGTCTGGCAGTCAGCACACAGAACTGCTGAATTAAACATGGTGACAAGCTGACATGGAATTCATGGTTTCAATCCAAACAAATCAGACAGTAAATGTTCTCAGACAGTAAATGAATAAAAGTTGTTTTATTGTGTTAACTGGCAGTATAACCCATCATCAACTGGGTCTTTCATTACTGGGAATTTTTGCTGTTCAATTGGAGCAGTTTAAGTTTAAAATTTGCCCATCAGAAAATCAATATTAGTAACAACATTTGGGTGCAACTGAGGCACATTCCCAAATGGGGGTGAACAATTTGAATAGGGCTGAAAATGGCTGTTTTTGCAGTCTCAATCTTGCAAGGAAGGAACCTCTTCCTTGGACCGTCATAATAATAATATGTGATAATTTTTATTTATAATATAATTTTTTTTTTTTATGATTCTAATAATCTTTTGTGTCTGATTTCATCTCTCTAAATTGATTGTATGCTTTTTTTTTTTTACAGACATTATATTTGCCTTTGATTTTTGCACAAAGTATAAAAAATCAGTTTTTTTTGTTTTTTCACCTTCAAGGTTGTAATTTTTTCCAGCCAATTTGGACTCAAAACTGGCACTGAAGAATTATCTATTAAACAAAAAAAAATTTCATTGAAATCTGATGAAAACTGTGAAAATGCATAAACAACATCCGATCACACACACATACACACATTTTAAGAATTATAGATATAGAAATACACTTGTCTTTTTTCATTCATCTTTGTTAATCCCTACAACCTGAGATATAACAATGACAATTTATAGAGATTAAAGAAGAGGATACCTAAGCCCTAAACAAATATTGTATTTAAAAAGAGCAATTATTTGAGACAAATTATAAAATTTTGTCTTTTGAATTTCTCCCTAGCCTGAATTGACACCAGAAGTGCTTCCTTACATTTACCAAACAAAGCGCCCACTGCTGATACTTTTCTGGAAGTCACCAGACCCTTCATATTCTACAATGAAAGATTTGGTAGAATCAGGAGAATTCAAAGATGTCATCTTTACTTGGCTTAATCTGTAAGTATAACTTTGTTTCCATGTGTTTTTTTTTTAGTCTTTATTGTTTGACTTAACATTTTTGTATTCTTTGCAAGTATTGCTTCTCCTTTCCACTGTGTTCTTTTCCAAGGCCCCATGACTGCAGTAGCCTCATTCTTAATTTCAGTCAGCATTTCTTTTTTTTGTGTGGGGCTATAGCAGGAAATAACAAAACAACAGTGAAATTCAGACCTACTTTTGTTTCACAATTCATTCTTTTTCAACTCCCTGTACCCTCTGCATCTTAGCTCTATCATCATGTTGCTTGAGGTAAAACAAATATATATATATATATATATATATATATATATATATCTTATTATAAAACGCAGATTGTGTGTGTCTGTAACGTTTATATATTGGATCGGATTTCCTACATTTATCAACCGATTTCAACAGAACTTCACAGGACTACATAAAATTACCTTGTGGTGGTTCTAACAGTGCCAAAAATAGGAAAAATATAATTGTTTTTGCACAAAATCAATTTGAAAACACGATTAAGAGATATCATTGAAAATGGAAGGGGACACCTCGCATCGGGTTGTTTGTGTGTGTGGGTTCCTTTAAATATGGGGAGCGGTTTCCTATATTTTTCAGCCGATAAAACAAAACTTCACTTATTTTTTTTTTTTTTTTTTTTTTTTTTTTTTTTTTTTTGGCATGTAGTGTTTCTTATTGTCTTGCACACATTTTTCTTTATTTTTAACATTCAGAATGCTTTAAAAATTCCATTTACAAGACAATTATTTATAATAAAATTCTATTCAATCAGTAGACTCATAACGATTGAAAACAATGTTTTTGTTTGAGTTTGGGTTTGACCAATTCGTAAAAAAAAAAAAAAAAACTAATTAAGACATGCGTGTCTGTCAACCTTAAACAATAATCTTTGTCAATTTTATTTTTCAGTCTTTATGATGGTGGATACTTGATCTATCTCTTACTGTTATATCCCCGGGCAATGCCGGGCTCTACTGCTAGTATATAATATGTGGGAACTGGGTTAATGCTAAGTCTGTTTCATACATGAATGCAATCTTCATGGACTGAAAATTGCATTCAAACATGAAACACACAGTCGCTGTTCAATGTTGACCTTTTTTGGCATGTGATTGAATCAATATAGAAGAGATTGTCAGTAAATTCCAGTAATAATGTAATTTTCAATAATTTGTAAGGTCACTAAAATCCATTTCTGGATATCATATATTGATGAGAAGGCAGATACCAACTTTGATCGATGAAAGAAGGAAAATATTCTGTTTTGAGCTACTATTTAACTGCACCATAAAAACCAGAGTTCGGAAATTGTTTAATAATTTAATTAACACTTCCCAAAAGGACATACACTGAATAAGATATTTAAGGGAAACTCAGTTACAGCTGCACAGATAATATGATGCAGTCAATAAAAAAAGACAGGATTATAAAATACTGTGGATGACAAGTAGACTTTTAACTGTAGGTGCGAATACAATTGTCCAATTGGTGGTGGGTGCCGACAGAAAAACATAATCTACCAAGCAACAGTTGAGGTGAATGACAGATGTGATAAAATCTATTTAGGAGCTACAGAATGTCCCTGGAAAGAAAGGTTTTATGATCATAAAACATCATTTAATAGTAAACTGTATAAAAAAGGCACAACACTGTCTAAGTATGTATGAGCACAAAAGGATAACTTTAGCAAATTCCTTGTGGTTGAGTGGAAGATTATAGAAACTGCCCTAGCTACAAAAGCAACATCTAAATCTTGTGGACTATGCTTGCCAGAAAAAATTTGAATTATTACATTTCCAGAGCAAGAGTGTTTTCGCAACAAAAGATTTGCACTAGTTATCAAGTGTAGAGATATGGTTTAGTTGTGGCTGTTAGCTGCTGAAGAAAAAAATAATACTGATAAAATTTATATGTTGGAATTTTTATCTTCTTTTTTTTCTTTAATTTTTTATTTTAGAAGGAATTTGCTTCTGAAACACAACTGATTGTGGACATCTGTTTGTGATTCTTCATTAGTCTTTCAGTTTGATGTTGCTTTTTATCACAATGTTCAGTTAAGCAGCGTTGAACCTGGTCAGTATTTAGATGGGAGACCACCAAGTATTGTAAGCAACCTCTTATAATCTGAAATATGTTTTTTCTTTAAATAACCCACAATGGATTGATAAGCTCTAAAAAAAGAAAAAATGATCAACCTTATCACAATGTTCTGTGTAAAATGTTATAAAATAACATTAATGCTTTATCAAGATGAAATAACAGCAGTTCTCCATCAGGGTGATGCAATGACAGCATTCTTTCATTAGGGTAAAGTGATTACAGTAGTGCTTTGTCAGGACAAGTCAATGACACCAACATAACAACAGCAGTACTTTATTTCATTACTTAAATTAAACTTGATTGCCTTTGAGGTCATTGATTAAAGTTGAGTGATCAGCACAATCAAGATGTTAGTCTGAATTATTTCTAAAACAGTGAAGCAGGTGATATAAAGAAGTCCTGAGAATGTACTGGTTAAAATGGTATGATAAAAACAAAAAAGATAAAGATAATTAAATCTGAATTATTTCTGGAATAATATAAATATTTTGTGTAAGAATTTCTAACAAAGGTCAAGGAAGATTCACTGCTGGGAAATATGCTGAAGGAAAATTTTCTCCAAGGAACCATTTCTGGATCAGCACTGTCATAATTAGAGGACACAAAATTGGTGCACATTCCTCTGCTAGACATTATTATTATTATTATTATCATCATCATCATCTGAAATCATTATTAACTTGTTGATTTTAAATTTTATCTATAAAACATTTTTGAAATGAAACTAATTTTATTATTTTTAAATATTATTTGGCAAATTTCATGACTACAAAAGAATGGTGTAACAAAAGGATGTTTTTTTCCCCCCCATTTTCAACACTATTATTTCAACTGTCCTACTCCTCCTCCTAATACTTGCTTACTTCTTCTTCCCTGACAATCTCACTCAGTAAACCCCTACCTTGTGTGGCTTTCAGGCCTTGTATTGAAAGAACTATCCATAATAATAAGAATAAAAAAAAATTCCTCAGTTGGATGTTACTAGCCTTTAGTAAATATTCCTTTCCAAATCACACGTCTGTTACATGGCAGGAAAGATGACAAATCTTTGTTTCTGGAAGATCATTGGTTAAAAGGGAATTTCATGTTGTGTTCTGTAGATATTCTTTTCTTATGAATTTTGTGTCTTTTTTATCTTCTCTTTTCCAGGACATCCTACACAGATTTTGGAGTTCAGTTGGTGGAAACATACTTTTCTGTTCCAAGTCTTCCTGCTTTATCCATGATTTACTTTACCGAGGTAAGTTCCACATCAATAAAAAAAAAAAAATAGGAAAATCGGGAGAAAATTAACACCTTTTAGATGAAGCTTTTGCAGAGTTAGGGGTTATTAAATTAAATATATAAGAAGGTGCATTTTGTTGGCAGTGTGAAAATAGACTTCTCCAGAAACATTTTGAGTATGACACAAGGTCATTAACAGCAAAAGTAAAAAACAACAATATTTCTCTTTTAGAAAATAAGAATAAAGCATAAGAAATGTTTACAGTTCATGGAAGAGAATATTTCTAGGATAGAAAGTTTGTTCTGTGTTCCTATTGATTAAAGGATTAAGGAATTTATCAGTTCAAATGAAATTATATTTTACATTCAAATTTTGCGTTACAGTTGATACTGGAGATTAAGTAAAAGTTGTCTCCCTTTTTCTGTTGAATTTTGAATATGTTAAGACTTTAAGGAAGAATAATTTTTTTATCTGGACTCACAGAAAATATTTCAGTTCATGAAATAATATTAAGTTTCATTGGAAAGAATGTTCTTCGATAAGAAGGTGTTGTAGGCTGAAATTCTGTGTAAGATGAGTTAAAAGAAACTTGTTGATTGAGGGAAATGTAATCTTCACTTGAATATTGCAAAGTTGAATTAACTTTCGACTTATTGTTGTTCATCGACTAGAATTGAATATGAAAGAGAGAATTCTGGAAATCTGAGAATATGTTGAATTGTAAATTATAGCTCCAGAGGATTTTGAAGTAAATAAGTTTCTGTTGCTTGTCACTGCATAGTTAAGGGATGTTCAATGTTCATATATACATGTGTCTTTGTGTGTATCATAGCATCTGCATAGTGTTTTCGTAGAGATTGTCCAGCATTCTCTGCCATATAGGAGGACTGATATTACATAACACTTCAGTACTCTTTTCTTTGTTTCTAATGAACTTTACCTGTTTCTTAATACTTTGTTTAGCTTTTGGAAGGCATCTTTTGCTAGCCCAATGTGTCTTTGGATTTCAGTGTTTCATTTTCTGTCCTATTAAAACACTTCCTAGATATTGAAATTTTTGTACTTGTTTGATTTTGTCATCTCCAATTTGTAATTCACATGTTGGGCTGTCCCTTTTGCTAACAACCATGCATTCTATCTTTTTACAGTTGATCTTTAGTCTTTTCTTCTTGCTTTCATTTACTACATTCTGTAAGAGTTCCTATATTTTCCTTATTTTCCTGTCTGCTATCAACACTGTGTCATTTGCATATCTTATATTGTTAAGATTGTGGCTGCCAATAATGAATCCTAGTAGGACTTCTGATTCTTTCATTGTAAATCTGGTGAGAAGATGTGTTATGGAGGTATGGGTTATTAGATAAAATATATATCTTACATTGAAATTTTGTGTTACAGTTGATGTTGGAGATTAAGTAAAAGTTGTAATAATATAGCAGAAGTTATTTCCATTTAACTGTTATTTGAATTTGTTAAGACTTTAAGGAAGATATAATTTTTTATCTGGACTCACAGAAAAGATTTCAGTTCATGAAATAATACTAAGTTTCAATGGAAAGAATGTTCTTCGATAAGGTGTTGTAGGCTGAAATTCAGTGTAAGATGAGTTCAAAGAAACTTGTTGATTGAGGGAAAATGTAATCTTCACTTGAATATCGAAAAGTTGAATTAACTTTCGACTTGTTGTTGTTCACTGAAGAGAGTTGAATATGAATGAGAGAATTCTGGAAATCTGAGAATATGTTGAATTGTAAATTATAGCTCCAGAGGATTTTGAAGTAAATAAGTTTCTGTTGCTTGTCACTGAATAGTTAAGGGATGTTCAATGTTCATACATACATGTGTGTGCGTGTGTGTATCATAGCGTCTGCATAGCGTTTTCCCATAAAGGGACAAACGTGAACTTTCTCTGCTGGACTACGTGGTTGGTAGGCAAGAGAAACAAAAAGAGGAAGTGTGAAGATTTACTACATATTTATAATCAACGTGATCATGTGATAGGCTCTAGAGAGCATTTCTGATTTTGGCAGAAAAATGGTTTTGAATAACAATTGTATTAAAATGTAATTTTTAGTTTTTTAACTTCTGAAATAAATTTGGCATAAATAAGTTGAATTAACTTTCCACTTATTGTTGTTCACCGAAGAGAGTTGAATGTGAATGAGAGAATTCTGGAAATCTGAGAATATGTTGAATTGTAAATTATAGCTCCAGAGGATTTTGAAGTAATATTTCTCGCTGGTGAATATTGATAAGAGGTGAAAGTTGTAAAGTTGAATAAGTTTCTGTGTAAGGAGTGAATAAGATTAGTCCAGAAATGTGCAGTGTTCATATGTATGTGTGTGTATTTGTCATGGTAGTGACCTGTGTGTGTTTGTGAGATGTGGTAGCATGGCTGATTTTAAAAAGCAACAATAATAAGATTGCATAGAACTAGTAATAAAATAATAATATTGAAAATACTTTTTAGTGTCCTATTTCAATTTAAAAATATTTTATTTATGATCTATTTGTTCTTCATTTCATTTTATCATTTATTTCAATTCCTATTTATATCTGATCTACATTTTATCTTCAACTCATACATATGTATAAATAAATGATGTAATTATATAAAATATTATATATTATAATATATTATTATATTATAAAATTATATAAAATAATATCATAAATAAAGTATGTAAGACAAAATGGAGAAAACTTTATTTGTGACTTGTTCTGTGGTGAATATGAAATAAAAATGACTTTCTATTCTCCACTGTTTTCAAATTTGTGAGCCTATGCAAAAATTTATTTTGACCAGTAGAAAAAGAAATTGGCTCTGGGCTGAAAAAAAAAAACCAAGGCAGAGTTTAATGAGCCTATGTGAAAATTTATTTTGACTAATGGAAAAGGGATTGGCTTACAAACTAAGAAAAAAGTAATAGCCAATGTGAAACTGCTTTTTGATATAAATGGGCAGAGAAAGTTGAGAGAGAAAAAAAGCAGAAAGAAGCAGTAGGCAGAAAGCAAGAGTTCCACATGTCTGAATAACGCTGGTGTCAAATTACACACTGATATATTATCAGCCTCTAATGAGAGCAGGGCAATTTCAAAGAACTCTATTCAACTCCAAAGTACCTTAAAATATCTTTTCATTCATGTTGAATAAAATTGTATAACTTTTATGGGAAAAACAAACTCTCTCAATTTGTTTTAAACATTATGGAATGTTACTTTGTACCTGATGATTTAATGTGAATATTTTTCTCTTTTTGACAAGTCATCAAAACTATGAACTTTAAATATTTGGTTCCTTTGCCTGAAACAAGCTTCTGACAACTTCAAATGTGTAAATAAATTACTTATCTGGTTTTGTTAAATATAGTGTGTGTTTCCATGTCATTATCCCTCAATACTGTAAACTGTTAAATGCATTAAAATATACATATGTGCTATCTAATTACATTGTTAGCTAATTGAAAAATAAAGCTTCTGTAAGTTTACAATTTTTGTTTGTAAGTCTGGATGTTATGCTATAGCTATAAACTTTTAAATGTGTTAAAAAATACATAAGTACTATGTAGTTACATCATTAGCAAATTGAAAAATAAAGCTTCTGAAATATTTCGATTTTTTACCTTTATTGAATATATGGTAAAAATAAAATTTTCAGTTTGGTGATGACTTAACAAATTAATGCCTTTTTCATTACTTTTCAACAAAAGTTACAAAGTCATAAACTGCTAGATAATAGGCCAGAAGTTTTGGGCCACATTCTGAATTTTTATAATTAGTTAATTTCATACCATCTTTGGTTTAATTAACTCTTACTGAGTGAGGTTTCTGGAACTATTCAATCCATGAGTGTATTGTGTCCAATGTTTAAAGAAGTGGTTATCTGAAATTTAAAATCCGCCAGCCCTAACATTACTATTACCCAGTAAGGTAGATTAGACAAGATGAGCTAAATTTTTAAAGAAACTTTATGCAGTAATGTGTTAATTTTATTATAATTATTATCACTGAATATATATATATATATATATATATATATATATATATATATATATATAATAATCAGGAAGAGAAAGTCCCTCTGTACCAAACTGAGCTAGTTAATTAGTTTTGAAAAAAGTATGCAACGTCAATCTTTATATGATTTTTCCAATTCTAGATGTGCATTCACTTGCATGCACCCATCTGCACTGATATGTGTTTGTGTAGGGAGTCATGATCATTTTACCCTTTTCTTTTTTTTTTTCCACTTTACACTCCCTCATTAAGCCTTTTTAAGTTTTTTTTCGATTGTTGCTGATTTTGTCTGGGTTTGTTCCATCTTTAGAGAAGTGACCAATTTTTATTTTTATTCATGGGCATACAGTTTTTGTTTTTTACATTTTTAAAAAAAATGATATATATATATATATACTTATATATTGGTTACATTTCTCAGGTTACTCATGCAATCTGTGACCATATTTTATTTTTTGTTTTTTTTAATTTGAAAAAAACCCCAAAAAACTTCGCATTTTAGTTAAGCCTAGTCTCTGGTTATTTTTTCTTTTTTTTTGTCTCCTTATTTTAACCACTCATCCTGAATTATTTGTTTGGTTAATTTTGTTTTTCTTATTGCAGAAACTTGTGTATAATTTCGAGGGAAACCAGATCACAGACGAATCAGTGAAAACTTGGATTGAAAAGTTAATCAATCACAGAGATAGTATGGAACCTTCTTGTAAGTACCAAACAAAACTGCTTTCATTTACTCCCCATAGAGAATCTTTTCTGTCTTCCATCAGCATGGCTGATGCTAATCTCCCAGAGAGCAACTCCTCACACCTTCTTGGGCTGCCAGTTTTCCACTGGCATAAAGTGGAGAGATTATATCAAACAAATTCCTAGGTTTACTTTCAGAAAAGTTTTCTGAGTCATATAACTAAGCTTATCGTTCACATTTTGATGAATAGAACTCCTAACAGAATTAGACCAGAAATAGGGTTAGAACAATGTACTGAAACAAGAAATGCAATATTTGTAGAGAGCTATTGACCACTAATGACCTGAAGGAACATGGCAGATAAGAGAAGATAAATTTTTGATTATATTTTTGCTTCTGAAGTCCCAGTGAATTTGGACATTCATTTCTGTTTTATTTATTTTTTTAATTTAATTTTTTTTTTCTTTTTTAGATCAAATGAAACACAATGAGTGGAAACCTCAACGAGAGAGTTATGATTTCTTAAAGGATCATCCGTTTGATCACTGGGAGAGTAAGTACTCTACTGAATGCTTGCTGATCATTTGGTCTAAGAATCCATGTAGCCTGTTACATAGTTGAGATGATTTATTTCTTCACTAGCAGCATGGCCTGGCGTTGCCCGTGCTTGATTCAAAAATCGTACGACTCATACAGCAATCGCTATCACTTGACTTAAAATATTTTTGCCCTTCCTTGCCTTTAAAGGAGTGCCCTTTGCTGTGCTGATGTTGCTACATGCCTTACTTCTTGCCTATCTCACACTGCAAATTTTTTCTAAGCTCTATACTAAACATTAAATCTGTTACGAAAAAAGAACTAAACAAAATGAACACAAAACGATCAGCTTTAAAAAAGGACTCATAACTGAAAAAACCGAATGGAAAAAAGAAGGTTAACAACAAATACTTTTTCACACCCAACCCAGTTCTGCGGAATCAGAATCAACATTGAGTTTAAGCAAGTGAATGAGCCAAGTGGAGTAAAGTGCAATGCAGATTTAAATTTTTCCCACTTGTGATGAATACAGCTATCAGTTTTTTTTGCATGCTAGCATACTAGTTAACATTCGTGACAGTCAGCTATTGGCTCTCACTCTGGCCAGTAGAAAATTGCTGCAAACCACATGAAAACTGCCGTAGAAGTATGAAAAAATTGATTATTTCCACTATCGATGGGAGTTGGGAAATGCAAAGTCAGTCTTGGCCTTCCCACTAACTTGGAGCATGTGCATGTAAATTTTGGTGCAAATCCATCGAAAATTGCGGCTGTGCATTCGTTTTACACACACACACACACACACACACACACACACACACACACACACACACACACCCTGCCTTTTATAGATAGAGATTGTAAATCTGTCTGAATGAATAATGATGTTTTGAAAGCATTTGGGAATGAATCCTGTCGGTGTGAGAGCGACCCAATGAATATTGAGGTACGACAAAGCTTCTTTTGGAATAAAAAGCAGCATAAAATAATCTGAACTTAGTTCCCAGGAAATTCTGACCACATTTTACAATGGAGGGCTGGAGTATTCTAATGCATAAAATAAGATGAACCTGGTCCAGGGTTTTCTGACTCTGGAGCCACATATCCCTATTGTAAAATAAAGGTAAGGGCTTGAGTGTTCTAATGCATAAAATAAAATGAAACTAGTCCAAGGGTTTCTGACTCTTGAGCTACGTCTTTTGTGCTATAAAGGGGAGGTCTGTAGTATTCTGATGCCTTTGTGACTCATGACAAATTATTTTAAATGTTAGTGTGTTGGTCTATACTTAGTCTGATCATATGACACATTTCTCTCTTTTGTTGATAGTTTAGTATCAAATTTTTGTTGAATTCCTTTCATATATTCACTTCAAATTAAATCTGTCTTTTGCATTGGCATTTTGAATTCAAGCTTAGTGATTAATTTTTTGTGTCTTATTTTTTCTCATTTTATTTTGGTATTTTTATTTTTATATCATTTCAAGTCATTTGAATTTTTTGTTTTAATTAATTAAATTTTAAGTGTTTTAGTTATTAGCTAGTATTTTTATTTTTAACTTCAGAGCAAGATATGAGCCTTATTTTTCTTTTTTTTTCCAGATGTTAAGACAACGTTAAAGAAACCAGATGTTTCGACCTCTGTGCCTGAAAGCCCTAAGAAACCTGCCCATGAAGATCTCTAGAATCTTAAAAAGAAATGGTAAAGATATAATTGAAAGGAAAAAAAAATATCTGTTCTGCTATGAGATGCCTTTTTCTGCAAAGTCTTTCTCTATGTGGAGTATCTTTATCTTTTCACTTAAAAGAAGCACTTTGAATACTCATCCATCTTATCAGTACTTGACCTTCAATCCATAATACCAGTATATTGGATGCAGAGTAATATTTGGTCTTTGTGTAGATGTATTTCTTTTAAAGAGAAGTGTGCAAAGAAGGCATATTTCTTATATATGTATATTTTCTTATTCCTAAATGGAATTGGATTGAGTTAGCAAAAAAAAAAAAAAATGAAAAATATCCAGTTTTTCACTGGAGAAATGTCTTATGTTAAAGACTTATATTTTGATTTTGGCTAAAGACGACAGAAATTAATATAAAATATTTATTAGCAAAATGAATGCCAATAACAATACATTAAAACTTTACAAAGAGATTTCTTTTTTTTTATTTATTTCCCTTTTTTGTAATATCTTTGACCAATTTTGTAATCTTCCTTTCATCATGACTGATCATTAACCTCTTGCTTCCATCAGCTCTCTTGCTGAATTAGTAATTTTTCAAGAGTTGCAAGCAAAGCACTTTATTTAATCCAATTGTACATGTTGTTCCCATTTACACTTCTGGAAGTTTGGAGTTCAATTTCTGGATCAGGCAGAGTAGAAATACTTGCCAATTCAAAATGGCACCATAAGAGAAAAAGAAAAATAGAAGGAAAATAAGTTTAAAATTCTCTTGGAATGACAATCAGAAGATACAGGTAAGGGGTTAGATAAGAGTACCCCATCAATCAAATACAGAAATCATTCCTTATTGGTTGGGCCATGACCCCTAGCTGATATCTCAAACCACACATGATACCAAAATTTATAAATATGGTTTTTTGTTATGTGTAAATATCTACTATGAAGTTTAATTTATAAATTAAGCTCAATAACAACAAGAATAAATAATAATAGAACAATTGTAAAAATATACTGTAATAAAAGTTTTGCAATGGATAGAACATTTGTTCTATGGATAGATCTTAATAGACACAATATAAAATTTACGAACAGTAACTAACAGAACAATTGTAACAACATATTGTAATAAAAGTTTTGTGATGGATAGAAGATTTATTTGATAAACATCCCTGCAAAGAGACGTAATGTCAAAAGCATGGCTTTTTCCCCATGAGACTGCCATTATTTTAACTATCTTCAGCAATGTTTATTAAAATTGGAATAAATCCTAAACGCATGATGAAAGTGAATTTATACGTTTTGTTTCAGCTCTGGAGAATTTACAACAAAAATATTAAACATTATTTATTAGATTATTTATTTACAAGAATAATTTTATATGTGCAACATTCTAAAACCTAATACAATGCAATATTTATCATGAAAAAATAAATATGAAAACAGGTTTTTGTTCAGAAATTTTATATTTACAACATTTTAAAAACTAATACAAGTAAAACTAACGCAATGCAATTTTTATCACTTACCAATTTATAAAGAAATAAATATGAAAACAATTTTTTATTCATAAATTTATAAACATTTACTTAATTATTAAAATATGTGAACCAACTATAAAGAAATTCTTATTTAAGATTTTATAAAGTTTGAAAACAATTTTTTTTTTTACTTCATTGTTTTATAAAAATATCAATGAATGATAAAACAAATACTTTGTTGGTTCACATATTATTTTATATTTATACTCTTGTATATATAAAATTAGTTTTGTAATCTAATAGTGTTTAACAGCTTTGTTTTTAGTTCTCAAGAAAAAAAAAATTGTATGAATCTGCTTTCATATGTTTGAGTTTTATTAAAATTCTAATCACCACAATGTAAAACAATAAGCATTGCCGAGGGAGTCAAGTGTAGACATTAATAGTGGTGTCAAAGGAAAAACTGTCCTTTTGACAGACCGTTTCTTTTTTAGGGTACAAAACAGACTGTTGCCACTCTGTGTTGTTCTCAGTATCCACTTTTCTGTTTACACATGTTCTATCCATGATAGCATTTTTACCCATGTAGCATTGCTAAAAGTATATTTTTATTATACAGGGTGTACAAAAAATTCATACTATCATTAAAAACCTGTATAAATTTTATATTTCTTTTATATAAGAATATACCACTGAGAAATTTTATGGGACTCTTTTGATCTTGTGTGTGTGTGTATGTGTATGGTGGACTCTCTTGTCTTATTCGATGTATGAGAATCAAGTAGTTGAAACCAACACCCCAGACACCAGTACATATGATTTGATTATTGTGGTGAAGGCTTTGTGCAGAGCCAACTATACTTTTTGAAGGGCTGAATACAGAGGTCTGGTGCACTAGGTGTCACAAGGTTCTCAAATGACCCTCCGCAGATTTTGAATTGTCCTTCTAGACCTTCTATTGTCCTTCTAGACCAGTTGCCATCCAAGGCTATAGAACCTAGTCTGCCCTGCTATTTACCCATAGATGGAGGGAGAGGAAGAGGATTAATACCTTTCTCAAAGGTATTAGCACATTCAAACTCGGCTCTCCGATTCCTCATTCCAAGCTGCTACCCACTACTCCAGTGTGCCTTCTTGTATATATATATATATATATATATATATATATATATTAAGAAATGGACAAAGTCTGACAATTTATTTATTAAAGACATTTTTATGTTTAACGTTCTTTTTATAGATACAAGTATTTAAGTATTATAAACAGAGCATTTACTTAAATACTTGTATCTATAAAAAGAACATTAAACATAAAAATGTCTTCATATACATATATATATATATATATAACATAAACACACATAGAGGTAATAATCCAAGTGAATCTTAATAATATAAAATATTAAAACTGATTCACAGAACTCAATGTATTTATGATAACAGAGCATAGAAATTACATAGAATAGAAATCCCAAATTACTTCATTGTAATAAGTATTTGTGGGATGAAATAGCTGTTTGAATGAGGTCATTTTGGATTTCTTTTCTATGTAATATATATATATATATATATATATATGTGTATGTATATTTTGGCAACCTCATATCTTAGTTACCTCCTTTGAAGTGTTACTCAAGCTAATTGCACTAAACCCAGCATTCTTCTCTTCACTAGTAAAAAAACGTTAACTTTCAGATGACCACAGCAACTTTGTCTTTGAAAAATAATGAACTCTACAATATCTGTTTTGAAAAAAAAACATGACCCTGATGATGGCGACATTTTGTTCATGTCAAAAGTACTCAGAATAAATAACATGCATCAACATGGTAATCTCTCTTCCTTTAATAATGACACTAAAATCATTGTCCATGGAGATAGAAGATTCCTACTGAAAATAGGTAGACAAAACTTGCCTAAATTATTCAATGAAACATGTCTCAAAATATATATACACACAGTGACTATATATTTGTAAATGATTTGCCTCTGATACTGAGCATCCCCCACCCCATATAAATAAACTGGATTTTAAATACATAAATTTTTTAAAGAATTAATGTATATTTTTTTAATTAGATATTTTTATTGCTTCTAATTTTATTATAGTGGGCACTTCTTATGTGAAATAGACTTCATGAATTTGAAGTCCAATAGATAAATTACAAACTGTTTAATAAATAAATAATAATGGGACATCATTTTCAAATGTGTCCATTATAATAAGTTTGTGTAATAAATATATATATATATATATATATATATATATATATATATATATATATATATGGTGTAATGGATAGTGGCTTGGATTGAGGAATCAGAGAGCTGAGTTCGAATTTAATACCCTTGGGAAAGGAATGAATCTTCTCCCTCCAGCTATAGGTAAATAGCAGGACAGACTGGATTCTATAGCCTTGGATAGCAACTGGTCTAGGAGAAGGACAACTCTGAATTCAAAAATCCTGCAGAGGGTTGTTTGGGGACCTTGTGGCATGTAGTGCATCAGGTCTCTGTATTCAGCCCTTCAAAAAGTGTGGATGGTCTTGTATGAAACCACACCACTATAATCAAATCTCATGTGCTGTTGTTGGTTTCCTAGGAACTAATCTGCTTGACCCTCATACATTGTATTTGATTAGAGTCGGTTATATATATATATATATATATATATATATATAACGAAAATCTTGTTAATCCATTTGGATAATACCAAGGATGATGAAATCCTGAGAGATCAATGTTAATTCAGAGTGAATAATTTAATTTAAAGAAAAACGGACCACTTTCAAAAGGTGAAACGAAAAATTTTTCGTTTCACCTTTTGAAAGTGAAATCTGAAGATTCAGAGAAAAATAAAATTCTCTGGTGAAATAAATTATAACTAATAGAGCCTTAAAGTGGTCTGTTTTTCTTTAAATTAAAATAAATAAATAAATATATATATTACACATAACTTGGACTGATTTTAACTTTAATTCACATTTAAAATCGGTTCAAGTTATTGGAACACTTATATATATATATAATGTTGTCATTGGATGCATTTCAGAGCAGAAATAATATATCGAAAAGATTGTCGAAGATGTGTGTTTATAAGCAGTAATTTGGACTTTGTTAACTTGAATGGTTAACGGCATGTCAAGCTATTTAACGGTTTTCATATGGGATATAGGTTTAATTCCTGTTAGAGAATGCATATTTTCTGCAAAGTTTCTCAAATATTCAAGCCACTAAATTTAATTAATACTATTTAATTAAAAGTTGTATCCATAAAAATAATGTATAAACAGAAAATATATATAAAAAAGTTTTATTTATCAGACCATGAAATTCTATTTCTACTACATAAACAAAAGTATCCACAACAAAGCTGTGTGAATTTTATTTTTTAACTATTGTTCACCCAATACAAGAGCAAAGATTGCATATTTTGAGGATACGTCGAATAGATAAATGATCTTCAACTTGAGGAATGGGGAAAGCAACCCCCTCACAAGGGTTTGTTCTATATTGCAACAG